CAATAACAAATTTTCATCTGACTTTGGAAGTATAAGTTAAAAAAGTAAATTGGATTAAAGTATCTGTGTATTGCAAAGCTGGCCTTAGTAGAGTCTAGAGCGCTATTCATTGATAAGACAAATCGAACATAGCCCTCAGTAGTCACGTCTTATGAAATTTAAACCATTTTTTTAAATATATGAGTTAGTTAAAAGAGTTAAGTAAATACCAAACATTAACTTAGGGCAATATAATTCATATTTTATTTTATTATTAAAATACAAAACTTTTCAACATTTGAGCAGAAAGTTCGTCAGCCGAATATATAATTCGAAATATGTATTACATATTTACAGTTATAAACTTCATAAAAGGTAATTAAGTTTTTTATCTATATTTTTCGATTGCTGATTTTATTTAGCAGGAGAGGAAAACGTTGGGCAACATGAGAAATCTCACAGCGTTCGGCTGCCGGCAGACGGAAGTAATTATCATCATCCTAGTGGTAGAGTCGCTGTCATCGTTGGATTTTCCAAAAAACACGCACTGGGCGCCGTCGCTTCGCGCTCAATGCAAAATTGCAATTGCAATTGCAATTGACTTAGACGCCGGACTTTGGCGATAAGATTTGCCTTTGGCTGCGCAGACAGCAGACAGCAGACAGCCGACAAACGACAAACGACGAGCGACGAACCCAAAACGAAAGTTGCTCAACTGCAGACTTGGCAATTGATGGCGGAACTTGAAAACTGGCTAACGGTAGCATGGCCCAGGCCAGGCCGGGCGGATGACGATGCCAATCCATGCCATTATATTGCAATTATGCGAACAACCCCCACGGAAGTGTCCTTCACATCGTTTGGGTATTTCCACCCTTGGCGTCGCTTGGACGGTGCGCTCCATGGCGTCATGCGTTCATTTCGTTCACAGATTTCGCTTTTGGGCAACAATTTATTTGGCTGGCTATCTGCGCTGCTGTTTTCTTGGCGCACGCGACTCAATACACGACGTTTAGCTGGCAACAACAGAAACACAGCCACATGTTTGTTGTCAACAAATATCAGCTCCAATTTTTATGCTGCGTGCCACTAGATGCTAGTTGGCAGCTGCAGCCGCTATATAAGCGATAAAATCTCTGGCCTCACTCGCATGCAGCTTATGGCCGTGCCTCGCAGACAAAGCACAGATACAAAAGTATCTCTGAGTTGGGCGCGCTCAACAGCAACGGCAATAGCAACAACAGAAACAAAAGCTACAGCAAGAGCGTGTGCCCTGTCTTTTGCTACCCGTTGTTATTGCAAGTTATGCAGCTTTTGTCGCAATGTCAAGAAACTTGCTTTTCCAGCTTCAGAGGAGCCAACAAATACTTTGAATCCTTACCTATGCCTATGCCCATGCAGCCATTACTTAACTGTGTCTAAGCAAATCAAAATGAGCTCCAATTGTATTGAAGCTTTGATTTCGGCCTAAATATACAGCTAAAAATATCTATACAATTATATGCTGAATGAAGTGTCTATGTAGCAAAAGTATTGGATCTTCAAGCATTATTCAATCTAGCTCCAATAGAATCTTGGTCATGAGAGCTGCCTCAGCGTGGCCGTTTAGTTAAGTTAAATTTCAGTTTTGATCTCATGCATTGCAGCATCAATTGTAAATTGAGTTAATCGATTTTATTTTTTATTTTTTATTTATTTATTTTTTATATTATGAGTGAAATGTTTCTGTTTTGCTCTTCCAATTCTAAATGCGATGAAATTGACAATTTTACAGATAGAATTTAGTATTGATCTCCATTCATTCTCGAGCTTCTTTTTTGCTCAATAGTTATCAATAGTAGTAAGTCGAGTACCTTTTGGTAGACCCTCGTGCGTAGAGGTCAACGCAGCTCACTTAAACTTGTCACATCAAGAGCTTTATGCCCAACTGTGGAGGTGGAGATGTCTGCGTGACCACGAAACTTTGGAAACATTTGCCTGCTCAGAGGCAAAACTTTGATATATATAGACTCTCGATGTTGCCCGATTTCTAAAATCTACTTTTCAAGTACATGTGTAGGCATTTATCTTGTGGCGATACACCCTTAAATAAAGAAGTACAAATACATTTGACTCTCTGAGTTGCGCTGTTGCTTGTTTGCTAGCCATATCTTATCGGCTAATCTGGCATACCAAAGGCGCACTGAATTGCCAGTTGCTGTTTATGATGCTGGCTGGGACGCAGCTATGGTGCATGTGTTGTGTGTGTATAAAGATACTTCAATTGAACCTATTGTAATTAATACAAGTGCGCACTGCCTCAGGCAGTGCCAGCGGGAAGGGCGGTGGTTCTCTATCTCCCTCTCTCTCAGTCTCCCTTTCCCCTAGTGTGTTGTGGGTTTCGAGAACGTAGTGCCTGTCGTGGCTTTCTGCGCTCTATCAATATAAAAATGTGAAGCCCCAGCAAAGCCGGGTGGAAACCCACCCGGAAGGCAAATTCCATTCGCAGTCGAGGCTGCTCTAATGCGTTTCGCTTTCCATTTGACTCATTTTGTTTGCTCTTCTGCATATGCGGGAGTGAGTGCAACAGCGCTTGTATTTGACAACCCAAAAGATACAAGATACATTCAAGCAATTTCATATCTATTAGCTAAACGCATGGGCGGGCGCACGACTTCGTTGGCGCCCTTAAGTGTAGTCAATTAATAACCGAGTCAGCGGCAGTTGGTCTAATGCTTTGTCAAGCATTTGTCACTGCATTCTGGCCAGTAATTGAGCCACGGACTAACATTCTTGAAGAATTGTAGTTATTTTGAATAGGAAATTCTATTTGAATTGGGCTCTCATTTGAAATACGTTTTCATACCCTGCAAAGGGCAGTTCAGGGAATATTGGTTTGTGTAAATGTTTGTAACAGGCAGCAGGAGACGTAGAGTGTTCTTAATAATAATAATAAACAGCTTGTATATAATGGGAATTTTCTGAATGGCATGGATATATTAACGACAATTTAAATTGTTAAACTTTATTATTTATTATTTTATTTAATATTCAAATTCCATGTGAACATTTATGACTATTATAGATAACACACATCATATAGTCCACTTATTTTAGCTTGTCTCAATCAGGTTCTGTGCGAATGTATGCGTTGATGTCACAGGCCTTAAATGCTACACATATACATTTTTAGCTTGAGTGCCAGACACTGTTTGATTAATCTATTTGTGAATCTCAATTGCCTCACTGATATCGTCAATAATTTATTATGAAACAAATGCAATATATATATAATTATAGCTTAAAGCTGCATTCAAGCAGCTAATGAGACAGCATCCCAAAAAGAGCGACTAAAATCATTTAAAGTTGTCGCTTAGGGCTTAAATAAACTATTATTTATTGATAGTTTGCTAGACAGCAAAAAGTTAAATAAATATTATAAAGTATAAAAACTCTACACAGCATTTCTAGTTATTCTCAAAGCGAGTATTTCGCTACCAAAACTGCTCCCAATATGAACGACCCACTTAAGCCGCAGCAGCACAATTTTGTCATCTTCTGCTGCCCCCGTTGCTTCACTCTAAGTCAAGTAGTTGTGGCTTTACCTGTTTTCTTCAATGCATTGCAATGAAAAACAAAAACAAGTAATAGTTCGACGGGGAAAATCGCTTTAGCAGGTGAAAACTTGAATTGGCATTAAAATTTACTTGAATACAATTTCTCGGAATAACGCCATAAATATTATAGTTAATCAGCCATGTTCTGTTTTGACTAAGTTAAAAGAATGTACTAAATAAATACATAAAAAAACTTATTTTTATATATGCCAGTTGAAGGCGTGGCGATTGGACAACACCTTCCACAAACAAGCAGAACTTCAAATTGGTAAAAAAATAGGTTTCTGTAGAGCTCCTCAGTGGAATAATATATTTATATATATAATACTTATATTTATTATATATATAGAGGCTATTATAAATCTGCCAATATACTTGACATAACTATAATAATGGATATGCTTTTTGAAAGAAAATGAATATTATGTTGCTCGTGTTTTTTTAATAATTTTCAAGGTTAGATTAAACTAGATATAAATTTAGAAGGAAAGAATTGGATTTGCTCATACAACTTTTAGTTTCAAGCACCTAACTTCAGTCAATTATTAAAACTGAATTTTGTGCTCTCTATTCATTTAAATTCTATGCAAATTTCTAGTTCTATATAAATATTCTATTTAAATGCAGCCCCATCTAAAACACGTTGTTAATAAAACAAATAGAGAATTGTTTTTAGATCAATGCCGCAGGAAGGCGTTCAACAATTCAAGGTAAACATTTGGTGGCCTGGCGGGAAATACAGATATAAATAATTAAATTGGGCCATCGATAAATTTGGCCAACTTTCAGCGCTGGCTATGTACTATCTAGCAGGTCGTCGTCAGTGGCAAAAAAATTAATTTCTAGGGCCTAATGTTGGCTCTGATCTATGTTTTAACGCTGGCTAGGCTGGGTTAATAAACTTGTCGTTTCGCTGATGACAAATCAGCTCCTCTTTGCATAACAAAAGCCGCTCTTAACTTAGAGTCGTTTAAGCTGTTTACAAATCGACAGCTTGTGCCAGCCCCGGCAGACACTTAGATGTTTATGTTCCTATAGACACTTGTCCATTTGATACACTTATGTGTGTATATAGACAAGCTTATCATGTTTATTTTTGATTGTGTATAGCCATTTCAATGGAATGCTCAGGCACAATAACAAAAACAACTTCAATACGCTGACGAATTGGCCAAGCCATCTCAGCTGAATCTGCGATTGACAATGGTTTTTAATTGGCCTTTAAACGATTTTTTGTAAGTTTCTTCAAGCTAGCTGTATATCTGTGTTATGTATCTTAACTTTTCTTGGATCTATAAGTTGCAATATGCAAAGCAAAGTTAAGTTCTGTTTAGGGTAAGCGCTTGGATTGTCATATATTTTATATAATTTAAATATAATTTATATAGCCTGAGCGCAACTTATATTTTTGTTTTGTTAACTCACATGGTTGAGGCGTGCCGCAATTTTGGCATGCTCCTCCTGGTAGGCTTTGCGCGCCTTCCTCTTGTCCTGGGAGAGATGAGCTAGCTTATCGCAGATCACCTCCAGCTGTTCAGCATTCAATTTGAATTGCTTGGCCTGTTGGTCCAATTCGTCCATATAGGATCGCCAGGATTTTGTGATGAGGCTGCCTGAGAACAAAAATTTTCAAATAATTATTGCAATTCTTAGGGCTCGAATTTGTTTGTCTTGTGACTCATTATCGATAGAACTTTACGCTCTAATCTCCAACTCATTTTGCAGCTGTCAAAGACCGAAGCTTACTTAACTCAAATGATTCATTCATGCGGTTGTAACAGAATCTCTTCGAACAGAAATATTTTTTATAACTACACAACTTCAACTTGCTTTTCTTTAATATCAAACTCGAGTCAAATAATTCTATATCATGAAATCAGACGTAAAGTTCATGGTCAAGGTTAAAGCGAATCAAAAGTACGTCACGAAATGCAATGCAAAAGGCAAAAAAAAACAAAATTGAATCGAGAAAGAACTGCAATCTTTGCCACATCGAAGACTCAATGCCCTTACATATGGAAACTTTAAATTAGAGTAAGGCTCAAGCGATCCATAGAGAAAATTCTGTTTGTGAAAACTTCAAGAAGACATTCTCGTTTTTTCTATTCTCTATAATACAATTCACGAATAGCTGCAGTTTCTGGAAGTATCCGACCAGACCAAGTGCGATAAATAATGTGGTTTAAATTGTAAACAATATTCGTGCTTCGATTACTTTCGTACCCAGCGACAGAATAATGTAGAAAGCAGCAACAGCACCAACTGAATAGCCAAGAACTGACACGAAAATTTATACCAATTATTTATTTACGAGTATATCTGGCATTTGTATGGCTACAACTAGCAACAGCAGCAGCAGCAGCAGCTGCACGTTGTTGACAGCTTGATGAGCTTGAAAGGCAAGGTGCAAGGCTGTATCTTTCAGATACAGCAGCGTCAAAACAATTAACAGCTGACACATGTCAATATTAAAATACATATATTCAGAGCAAGAAACTGCCTCGTGATTGGTTCGATTTGGTAGCTGATATAAGTTCATAGTGGAAGACATTCACAGCAAAGAATTTGCCTATTGAGTAAAGTAATATGTCAACTAAAGTGTAGACAAAAAGAAAAAATCATCGCTTAGTAACAACGGATTACTTAGCTTGGCTCAAAGGTTCATTAGTTTTATGGCTAGGAACAAATTGTGCAGAGTTCAAAAGTTGGCAACTGTTCATTGGCGGACTGTGAGAAAGATGCATCGATGATGTCACTTAACTGTATTGGACTCATATGCCAAAGATCAAAGGTTAGGCTGAAGCCTAATTGAATGTTATTGGCATGTCGCATTCATTTTGGATGAATCGTTAAGAAAGCTGAAGTTTTCTTTGACGAGTTTTGCAAAAATAATTATTTTCTTAACTGGCATCAGAAACCTATAGTACAGCTATTCACGTCTTTATTTGTCGTTGTCATTGCAATTGGCCTGGGTTGACTGACCATGGCAATTGGGGACTGACTAAATGCACGCCTGCCCTTACTCCTGCCCCTACCCTGGCCAGGCGCCAGCGAAAGTGAAAGCTTTCCGGCGCATCGCTGCCTGGCTTATCGGCTCTTGTGACTAATGGCTGTGTGGGCAGTGTCTTGCAGCGTGGCTTTGAGCAGGCCTTTCCCAACGGACCTCAAGCAGCAAAACAACCTTTTTCGTGTGAGTAATGCAGAAGCTTTGTGTCCAGATAACTCAGCGTAAATTCCAAATGCTACGATATGACGTAGCCGAGTGCAAGCACAAGTCTGATTCCACAACAAAGTTTTTATAATCAAATCAAAGCAAACTGTTTTATTAACTAAATCATTTTTGATTTGTGACTAGAATTTGGACTATCAACAAGAAGAGAGTAACTGATTGTAGAATAAGTGTGAATAAGAATAAGATAAAAATACTATTGGTAGATATTTTATCTATATCTAGTCTTAATGAATCGATCAATTTGACAGCTCAACTAGCAAGAAGAGTAAAGGCAAATGCCACACTGAACTTTGTTGTGAAACTGATTTTAAATACATTTTCGAAGATCTATTCAAAATGAATTTTCTTTTGGTTTTCATAAGGTTTCTAAGCTATAATTAAACATAGAAAAAAATGCATTGGATAAGATTATGCTCGTAAATAGCGCTCAGCAGGCATTATGTTGGTCGTCTATCAATCTATTTATCTAGTCTTAGTTTTGAGAATTTTCAATTCATATTATTTGGAAACAATATATGAACTATTCATATATCTACAACTAGATGTATACCCATATATATATAAGAACTTTGTTAGCTTTATCTTAAGTTCGTCAAGCTGAAGCTGCAGTCTGGATAGCATTGAGTTGGATACAGGGCATCTTCTGCAGTCGGAGCACGCTCACGCCTTATCACAGATAGAAATTGGTTTCCATTCTACGTTTTTGTTGTTCGAATGATATTGAGTGTGTAGGCAATTGAAGTTGTAGAGGAGCTCGGGAAAAGTTATCTGAGCCATGGCAATTGCATTGAAAGCTATCTTATCAGTGAAGTATTTGCAAACACGGATGCTTGTGTTTGGCTTACCTTGCATTTCATCAGCCCGATCGATTTTGAGACCCTGTTGAGCGACGGCTATCAAACTGATTGCGTACTCCTTGTCGCATTTGGCCTTCATTTGGATGGTTCGTTTCATGGTCTCCATGAGACGCAGTTCCGCGTCTTGGCGCACGATTAGCGCCTCGTGTGCGGCGCGGCCCTGCAGGGCCGTTGAGAAGCCCATTTTGGCGCTTGTGTGAAATATGTGTTAAATGCTCGAATCTTCAAGTTTTTGGACGTATTTTTTGTATTTGCTTTTGCCAATGAGTCACAATTGCATGCTTATATCGAACGCAGCGAGGGCTACAAAATTAAACAGAAAACTTAGCTTCACTTCAAGAGAATTGCGCAACGCAGCACAACACGACACCCAAATTCACAAAAACCAGGCGCAAACATATGGCAAACACTTGTTGCATGCCAATATTTATGGCTTTAAGCTGTGGGGAGTGCTTCTACTCTCTTTTTTGACACTTTTGACACTGTGCCTGCTCTCCGATCGCGCTCCAAGGGCCGCAGCTGAATCGAATCACTTATTTTCGTCACACACTCATTGGAAATTTCTTAAAAAAAAACTTTCACATGCACTGATTGTTGTTTGTTGTTGTTGTTTGTTGAACTTCTATTGCTGTTGCACTTGCTGCGACATTTGCTAATTATACAAGGCGACATTTGAATAGCGGCTTCAGAAGCCAACACTTTTGGCTAATTAGTGGAGTGTTTATTTTTGGACAGACTCTGAATTAACATGATTAAATGACATTTCAGATTTTTGGGGGTTTTTTTGTTGTCCGTGTAGTGAAGGCTCTTTGAAGATTTTTCAAACTGCGTTTCTACAATAATTGTTACTCTTTTCGTTGGTGGGTAAACTTGTTTTCCCCGCTTGCGGGCAAGCAAACAAAAATAAACATTGGCCCAGTCGCTTCGACCTGCGAGGCAGTCAATAAGGAAGCGACGCGACGTCAGCGGCGCTGAGTGCAGCACAAGTACGTGTATCTTACGGATACACAGATACTGGCACTGATACAACGCTATGCTACAGAACTGCGCCTGCCGCGCCAGAACAACAACAGTTTGATGTATTGTTTGTGTCTGTGCGTGTTTTGCTGTTCGTCTATATTGGAGTTTACCAAGTCAACTAAAGCATAAACGGGTTAGACAGCCACTGCCGCAGCCGCAGCCGCAGCCACTGCTACTGCCACAGGCAAGAGCCAACAACAGCTTCAACTGTGCTGGGGAACATCTGCACTTATAGATAAATTACAACAACAACAACAACAACAACAACAACATCAACAATAACAACAACAGCAGCAGCAGCAAGAACCTGAACGTATAAACGAAAGCGCCGTTATTAGTATATATACAATTTATATTTAAATTTAAGCATAAATGCACTCGAACGAGAAGATCGCTCAACAAATTTCATTTAAATTTGCAGTAAACTTTTCGCAACTTCTTATAAACTTCTTTTGATCGCACATAAATTATAGGCGGGGCTGTCACTTGCAATTTGCGTAATCAGCGCGTAAACCTTTCGCACATACATTATCTACACATTAATATAAACATAAATAGATCTTGTATATATGTATAAAATATATTTATCAAACTGTTGAATGCTTGCGCGACGGTTACCATGGAGACAAGTTTCGTATCGTAAGATGCTTCGCCCTCACATGGCCAATTTACAAAGCAATCCAACAGATGCCCAGAACACAGAGGTTCATACCGCACACATAAGACAAAACTCAACGCAACGTCCGAACGAACCAAACGACTCGAATGCTCAGCGTGAACTGAAACTCGACCAATACAAACGCCAATGAGAAAGCCGAATAACGACATCGCTGACGTTGCGGCGAAATGGCATGAGAGAGCGCAAGAAAACCGGTTGCACATAACCCAATAAACAAATCGTGCAGTGCCTGCTGTGAACAAGCGACTTCAAAAAAGGAAATGGAATTATTTCACTTTTCATAACTGAATGAATTTGAACTCGCTTTATGATATATAAATAAATAAATATATATATATATATATATATATATATATATATATATACTATATACTAATATACCCTTAAAGTCTTAATGCGTTATTAAGCTGAGAATTAAGGTAAATTTAATTTATATTTGATCTTAGTATTAGTCTCTATTCTATATTATATTCATTTCTAAAATATTTATATGGTTAAACTATGTATAACAAAACTCCCACCTTAGTTAGATTGGCACTCGCATTAATATTTTAGTTTATGTTTATGCTGCTTTAATCTCAATTTCATAATTCTTCTAGAGTTTGCTCAAAAAGCAATCAATATCGATTGGTAGAGCAAAGGATAAAGGAGCAAAAGGAACTGACTATGCCCAGCCACTGCGGTAGACAGCCAGCCTGTTGCCCATTTAACTAGCCCAAACCTCGTCTGCTCTCGTCTGCTTTTATTGTTCTCAACGCGATTCATTGTTGTATTTCTTGTGTTTTTGGGGTTTACGATTTTTGCCGTTGTCTATGAGACGGCTAACGCGCCGTGTTTATTATACTCGTTTAAGAAATGGAAAGAGTATATTAGTTTTCTACAATTTCAGTCTATTGAGAGGGAGAATTGAAGCTTGGAATAAAAACTCGTGGAAATTGTTACATTCCTTAGCTGTTTTTTTCTGGAATATTCAATATATACAGATGATATGTTTTCATATATCGAAATATATAGTTATGCTTATAGGAGGCCTGATCGAACTTTCACAGTATTTAAAACAGAATCACTAAGGTTTACAGATTGATCTTTAAATTAATTAGTCGCTTGACAAATTTAAACGAGTATTATGCAGTCGGATGCGCCAAATTGCAATGTGCAGTTTCACTTTGGTTGGTCCTCCCGCAATGTACAGACATCCGCATAAACAATTTATCTCTGCGGCGACACGCTTAGTGTGATAGTCCTTTTTTGTACTTTCCTGTGGGTGAATATCGAGTTAACTGCAGATTTCTGTGATCACATCCTGTTTGCCAAACGTATTCCACTTGCACTTTTACGAATTTATTCTTCTCTAAATAAACACAACCTTAACATTCTAGCTAAAAATCTAATTTTAGCTAGAGACTATTGTTTCTTTGATTTTTTTGATTTCGAATGTTTTGAAAACGCTTGAGATTTCACATGCTGAGGGAATGCGTCGGCCATCTGTTTGTATATGAGCCGATTATATAGCCATATCAGCTGAACCTTTGAAAGTTCGCAGCCAATTGAAACTAATGAATAAATTACATGGCATATGTACTATGGAAGATAGGAAACTTTGTGCAAGAACTCCGCAACGAGCTGAATTCCTTCTCCATTTACGCATATTGTCCGTAACGACTTGAAATCATGTCTCTGCGAACTGGAACTGAAAACAATAGCAACTCGCCAAATTGTGTAATATGCAAGAGGAGGAAAAATAAATTGCCCTGGGTATGAGTTGAATGAGTGAAGGAAAACTAAATATGAATAGCGCAATAGTGTTGGAATTGTGGGTAACATAAGCACTTAAGCATTTCTACATTTCCTTAGCTCCCTTCGCTTGCATAACAAATATTTAATAAGTTTTTTAATTCTCTTTACTGTTACAGCAATGCATAATGACACTAGAAATAAAAGACTTTTGCTGCACTCTAAAGAAATTCCAAGCAACAGTTCCTTGCTGCTTAGCATTCTGCTCAGATGGAACCTATTGAGGGAGCTACCCATAGCCATACCATTTGATTGGTATGTGTAAGAATTCACAGCAACAACAAACATAGCAACGATGACAAATGAAGAGACAATGACAAGAACTACAACAATAAATAAGACGGCTGCAAAGCGAGAGTGACAGACGATTAAATACTCCGTAGCCAGCCGTAGAAAATGTTGTAGAAAGCAATTAGAAGTTCCTTAGATTTGTCTGATTGTATGTATAGTCTGTAAATCGAAATTGATTAATATAAGGCTAAAGAGCAGTTAGAGATAATCCCAAGCAAAATATTCACGGTTTGATTGATATATTTTGATTCGAGATTCAGAATTCGAACACAAAATTAATAAATCGGTTATATATAATGAAATATATATGAATTGGAATGTATGATAAACTGTCTTCATTTGTGAATTTTCCGTTAAATGAATAATAATAAATTCTAATTTAATTGCAATGGAAGTTAGAAGTGGTATAGTAAAAATATTGAATTTATTGTTAACACAGGGTATAACATATAAAGAACAATAAAAATTACGAAGAGACTTCAAGAATCAATGTCTTCGAAATAACAAATGTATTTGTTGCAGTACTTTTTTCATTTAAATGTAAATTTATAAATATATATGCATAAATATACTCATATATATATATATATATATATATATATATATATTATATATATAATTTTCATTGCAACCGCTGATTAATTTAATGTGGCTGTTATGTGATGTTGTGGAGTATTGGGTCAAGTCGGTTTCAAGTCCTTTACAAAAAGAAAATATATATATATATATATATATATATATATGTGCCAGCTTATTCAATCAAAAACTAAAATTGTATGTGGCTTAAGCTAGTATAAAAATAAAATTTATTCATTTTTTTTTCAAAATAATAAAGAATATTAATATTATTAAAATTTAGGTTAGGCTAAAAAATACTTGATATATGTGTGTGTGGAAAGAAACTTAATATAATTGATAAAGTTTCAACATAAAAAGGGAATTATTTTTGGTATACAATTAACAAAAGCCATAAACCAACCATTTTGGCATATATAGATAAATATCTATATATCAATATTTAAAATATGTATGTTATATTCATATACTTTTTCAATGTTTATACTATGTTAGGGCCTATGGCCTATTAGTAATTATCTACTAACAAATTATGTCGACTTCACAAAGGTTGAAGAATGAAAAGGTCGCTCAAAACCAAATGAATGAAATGAATCATAGAACTATTGAGATTCTTAGGCCTACCAACTGTTTGATCTAAATCTACTTTCTTTCATAAAGATCTTTTTAAATCAAATAAATAAACTATTTATTATCTTGATAAAGTTATATAGTTATGGTAAATGTCTGTTTTATGAAAAAACTATTTATATACACATATATGTGTACATATTACGCACGATCTTTGCTTCTTAAAAATTTGATTCACAAATTGATTCGCTCAATTGATTTTAATTAATGTTAATTTGAGGCTTGGTGCTTCACGTTTGGGTCTCCAGTAAGACTGTAAGATATATATGTATTTTAGATATGTAATTCCTTTAGAGCATTTAAGTTTTCTTGCTTACATTTATTATATAGCAATAGATGCGTATTATATATGCAGTAATAATGCGTGAATTAAGGTGTTTAATTAATTAATGTATTTTTAATGTCTAATGGACTTTTATGCTGTTAATTGTTGTGGCGTTAAAACCACATTGTCACCCGTCAAATATCACACGTAACCACATGAAGTTCTCATTTATCACACCTGTATAAATACGTCTTAGCCAGCAACGGGGTCACAGTCCAGAAATATACTTTCGCCATGGAGTCAGAAAATGGGCTCTTCTATAACTATGAGGACTTCACACGGATACCAACCATCAGCTACAGACTTTGTGGCTTTGATGTGCTCGATACAGCCAGCAAGCCTCGTCCCATATGGATGAAGCTCTATCACTGGGCCTGCGTTTGCTCTCACATCTGCTGCGTGTGGTTCATGTTCCGGCGTATCATTGAAAGGGACACAATTGGCAACAATATTTCGCTGATAATGCGTTACGCTACTCTGGTGACCTACGTCGTTAACTCGGACACAAAGTATGGGACATCACAACAGAAACACGCTTTTCAAAGGTTAAATGGTAAACTTGCTGAGCTCTTTCCAAAATCCAAGCAGTCGAAGATTGATCATCGGATCAATGAGTATTTCTGGCCACGGCCAATAATTGTGCTTATTGTGGTCTATTATGGATCGTCAGCAATGGTCGTAGTGGGACCCCTTCTGCAATCAGTGTATATATATCTAATGGAGCAGCGCTTTTCTTACGTGCATTGCTATCCGTATTATATATTCGATCCGGAACAGGATCCATTGTGGCAATACTTCCTAATATATACTTTGGAGTGGTTGCACAGCACCTTGATGGTCATATCGAATATGAGCACCGACCTGTGGCTGGTCAACTTTGAAGTGCAGATATGCATGCACCTTGATTATATAGCTCGATCGTTAGAGAACTATAAGCCCAGTAGCACGCGAGACTCCAAAGATCGAAAATTCATTTCTCAACTGGTGAACAAGCATAACAACTTGCTAGAGTAAGTAGATGTCTACTACAAGTTTCCAGAATTATTCACAATCTCAACCTATAGACTCCAGGAAGACATTAATGACATCTTTGGCGGCTCACTCTTGTTGAGTCTTCTTACAACTGCTGGCGTATTTTGTACTGTGGCTGTTTATACGCAGCTTCAGGGACTCAATCTGGAGGGAATTACCTACGTGGTCTTTATGTTGACGGCCACATCTCTGGTTTACTTGGTTTGCTATTATGGCGAGAAGGTCAAAACTTTGGTAACTATTATACTTCAGATCCATTTGAACGGACCCTCAAGAAACCCAATTCTTGTAGAGCACATATATAGCCCATGCCGCCTACAATCATAACTGGTCAGATGCACCGCCGGATTACAAAAGATCCATAATGATTATCATCGCACGAGCCCAGAAACCAGCTGAACTGACCGCCATGGGCTATCTATCTGTATCCTTGGACACATTTAAGCAAGTAGGTAGACAACAGGGCTTCGCAACCTACTAGATGATTATAGTATATTCATAAAATTTCAGGTAATGACGGTAACATATAGGGTCTTTGCGCTTATCCGACAAATGATTGAGTAAAAAATAATTTGTTCAATATTTATTGCTGAGCACTGCATAGTTTATCTACATTAGTAACGTCCCATCACTTGGGATCTGTAGGCAACTTGAAGCCAACACGGTCTGCTGTTTCTTTCACTGTGCGCTCGCCACGACCATGATACTCCTTGTATAGCTCACTGTATCTGCGCAGACTGCTCAGATATGTTAAATAAGTTTGGCCCAAAAATGCTGCCTCGTCGCGTGCCTTGCATAGTTGTTGATCGGTCGTCTCATATTTTTTGTATTGTGCCAGAATATAGCGGGCGGCCAAAGAGTCTTTAATGTTGCCAGGCGAGTGAGCAGCTTGTCGTAATTCATGTAACAACGAGCGTAACATTTTAGTTCCCGCCATTTGAGGAACTTTTCTTTCTCTTGAATATATAACAAATAGTAACAATTCACGATTATGTGATTGCCGAATAAATAATATTAAACAGCTGTTTAGTGTGGAGCTGCCACTTTTGTTCACTATCGGCTTTGTGTACGATTGTGGCAGCGATACGATATTATATAAATAGTGTGGCCAGGCTGTTTTAAATTTGTATCACAGTTCACAATTGAATTACAAAATAAACTAAAGGGTTTTTTTTATCTTATTTGTCTTATGTATTAGGTAGTTCACTAAGTAATTTCGTTTTATGACATCAGCTGATCCAAATGAACTTTTTCGCAGCCAACTTCTCGCTTAACCGCTTTACCGTTATACATTTCAACAGGTGATATAGTAAAGCTTATTTGTAGAAAGTGTTGTTGGATTTTGTAAAATAGTTTTCATTTGGCGCCATATTGAAGATGAAAGATGAAACAATATTTTCGGTCTATTTTACTGTTTTACTATCGTAAGGGCTAAAATGCAGTTAAAGCAAGGCAAAAAGTATGCGATGTGTACGGAGAAGATGTGTTGACAGAACGCCAATGCCAAAATTGGTTTGGAAAATTTCATTCCGGCAATTTCAATCTTGAGGATGCATCATGTCCTGGAAGGCCTCTTGAAGCCGATGTGGACCAAATAAAGTCGTTAGTCGATGCAAATCGTCGAATAACAATTCGAGAAATTGCAGAAAGATTAAATCTGTCAAACGCGACCGTTCAGAAGCGCATGAAACGTCTAGGATTAAGTTCCAAACTTGACATATGGGTTTCTCATGTTCTTACAGAACGAAATTTGCTTCGTCACATTGACGACTTCGATACGCTTATTCGACGTCAGAGTAAAGATTCATTTTTAAAGCGCATTGTTACCGGCGACGAAAAGTGTAAAGCGCAAGAGATCATGGTCTAAAATGGATGAACCATCTCAAACCGTATCAAAGCCCGATTTTCACCAAAACAAGGTTATGTTGTCCGCTTCAAGGGGATCGTTTATTTTGAACTTTTGCCGGATAACACAATTAATTCTGAAGTTTATTGCAATCAACTAGACAAATTAAATGATGCACTCAAAGAAAAGAAACCAGAATTGGTCAATAGAAAAGGTGTAGTATTCCACCAGGATAATGCGAGACCCCATTCGAGTTTGATAACTCGCCAAAAGCTATTGCAGCTTAAAAAAACTTGGCACCTTCGGACTATTACTTGTTCCACTCTCTGCAGTTTTTTGCCAGGAAGGATCTAAAATTTTAATAGAATACATAATTTCATAAAATGTTTTATAAAATAAAATCGGGTTTGAATTGCACTAAAAAAAAACGAAATTACTTAGTAAACAAGCCAATATATTTGTGTTTACATAAATATAGAAACAATAATTTTTTTGTATATCATATTTACAACTATTTTTTGTAACTTGACAATCATCAAGAAGAGCGAAAACTATTTTATGTTCAAATTGGCGGTTGCCATCTCAACATTGCAGCGAAAACAAGAAATTTTCTGCACTGGACTCTATTAGCCTTGCCAGACTGTCATAAGTCATATGTATGTTTGTATGCTGATCAGATGTTTTCTTTTTTATTTACATACATCTGCTCTCAGTCAAAGTGCAAAAATTATATATTATTGTTTAAATTGTAAAGTTACGTAGCGCAGAAACGATGAGTAAGGTCACTAATAGTAAGTTAAAGTAGTTATGTACATATATATATGTATATATACGTATAAAGTAGTAATACTCTTTGGGAAGTTATGCGTCTTGCTTTATTGCAGTTGAGGGGCTCAAGGGACAAAGCGGCCAATGTACTGAATGCTATTAGCAAAATTGAAATGGCTGTTAAAGAGCATAAGCCACGTCTCATAACGTTGCCCGAGTGCTTTAATTGTCCCTACGGCACGAAATACTTTCGAGAGTATGCGGAACATATTCCAGATGGGTATACCAGCCAACAGCTGTCCAAGGCAGCGTTAGATAATCAGATCTATCTCATTGGTGGCACGATTCCGGAACTGGGCGACAATAATGCCATATACAATACATGCACCGTATGGGGTCCAAATGGCGAGCTGTTGGCTAAACACCGTAAAATGCATCTTTTCGATATTGATGTGAAAGGCGGCATTCGCTTTAAGGAGTCGGAGACTCTTTCGGCAGGCAACGATTTCACCATTATCAATGTTGATGGCCATAAGATTGGTATTGGTATTTGCTATGACATTCGCTTCGAGGAAATGGCACGCCTCTATCGTAACAATGGCTGTGAGATGATTATATATCCGGCTGCATTTAATATGACAACAGGTCCTTTGCATTGGGAACTCTTGCAACGATCGCGAGCAAACGATAATCAGCTCTTTGTGGTCACAACATCTCCGGCTAGGGACACCTCTGCCGAGTACGTAGCGTACGGCCACTCCATGATTGTGGACCCATGGGCTAAAGTCCAGAAGACTGCTGACGAACACGAGCAAATTCTAGTTGATGATATTGACTTTTCGCTGGTTGAACAAGTGCGTCAACAAATTCCCGTATTCAGTCAGCGGCGTCTTGATATTTATAGTACCGAAAAGAAATCCAAGTGATGTGTTATGGCATTTACCGTGCTACGTCTATTTTATAAAAAATGCATTTTTTTAAATCAAATATTGCTCAATAAGTGATCCTCTCAAATTTAGCAAATTGCTGCTGTTTCTTTCGCTGTGCGCTCGACCATGATACTCCTTGTATGGCTCACAGTATCTGCGCAGACTGCTCAGATATGTTAAATAACTTTGGACCAAAAAAGTTGCTCGTCGCGTATGTGATCAAATTATTTAAAAACGGCGAGCCCCATTTTAGAATTGAATCAGAAACATATTAAATGATTTATTATTAAATATAGCGAGACTATAAAATACTGAGCAATCCGTTTTATGTGCTCTTCAGAAACATCAGCGAATTATGAATATGTGCATGGAAACTAAACGGGTTTTGTATTAAATTTATGATTCTGACAAGTAATCATAGTCAAAGTCATAAGTATATTTGTATACTGATCAGAATTTACATTTTTTTTATTTACATACTGTAAGTATTTCCTTAGGGCGGTGTCTGTAATGTAGAGTTCCTCTTAGCTGTATTTTTGATTGTGTCTGAAAGCTGAGCTGTTGTTAAGTGTTGATGTATGTATATCGATTGTATGATGTTATGGAGACTGATCGTGCTCTGCCTCCCTGTTCTCTTAATGCTGATTCAGGTCAGACGGAAGTTCTTTTTGGCGATTATATAAAGCTAAGATAACACCAGCCATTAGCAATGCCGCTAAATTGTAGTGTTTTACAATGCGTGTATATGCTTATAGGCCACGTGCAAACACAATATAACATAATGTATAGTTACGTTGCGCAGAGACCATGAGGAAGGTCTCAAATAGTAAGTTAAAGTAGTGAACTGGCTAATATATATTGAAAGTAGTAATATTCTCCGGGAAGTTATGCGTCTTGCTTTATTGCAGTTGAGCTTATCGAGAGACAAAGCAGCCAATGTACTCAACGCCATAAGCAAAATTGAAATGGCTGTTGAAGAGCATAATCCACGTCTCATTACATTGCCCGAGTGCTTTAATTGTCCGTGCCATCGAAAGTATGCGGAACATATTCCAGATGGGTATACCAGCCAACAGCTGTCCAAGGCAGCGTTAGATAATCAGATCTATCTCATTGGTGGCACGATTCCGGAACTGGGCGACAATAATGCCATATACAATACATGCACCGTATGGGGTCCAAATGGCGAGTTGTTGGCCAAGCACCGCAAAATGCATCTCTTCGATATTGATATAAAAGGCGGCATTCGCTTTATGGAGTCGGAGATGATGTCGGCAGGCAACGATTTCACCATTATCAATGTTGATGGCCATAAGATTGGTATTGGTATTTGCTATGACATTCGCTTTGAGGAAATGGCACGCCTCTATCGTAACAATGGCTGTGAGATGATTATATATCCGGCTGCATTTAATATGACAACAGGTCCTTTGCATTGGGAACTCTTGCAACGAGCGCGAGCTAACGATAATCAACTCTTTGTGGTAACAGCATCTCTGGCAAGGGACCACTCTGCCGAGTACGTTTCGTACGGGCACTCCATGATTGTGGACCCATGGGCTAAAGTCCAGAAGACTGCTGACGAACACGAGCAAATTCTAGTTGATGATATTGACTTTTCGCTGGTTGAACAAGTGCGTCAACAAATTCCCGTATTCAGCCAGCGGCGTCTTGATCTTTATAGCACCGAAAAGAAATCCAAGTGATTTTTTATTGCATTTACCGTGCTACGTCTATTATATAAAAAATTGCATGTTTTTCTAAAATCAAATATTGCTCAATAAGTGATCCTCTCATTGGGAGGTGCCCGCTGTTTCTGACTCCCCAGTTGCGGCTGACATGCCGAAATGCGGACGCTGCACCTGACCGAATAGTGCTCGTATAGCTTCATCCGTAGCCATCAGCGGCTGACTAACAAATTCCAGTGCCTAGAAAACAATTACACATTTATTTGAAGTTTGTTTTACATGTTCCAACTATGTATGTGTATTTGGTTAGTTCAAAAATCTGCTATTGCATACACAATTTACCTGCACAGCGTATTTCTCGGCATCACAGAGCGGGCTGGTTGTTGCACTAGAAAGCTTGAGAGTCGTCTCGGGTATGCCCAATCCTGAGTGCAACACCATACGCTGTAGGATATTTAAGTTCTCGGCGCTAAGGCTGATTACATCAGTGGAAGGCAAATTTAGATAACGTATTTTAGCGAGGAATTTCAGTTGCTTTAGGATGTCCAATTGAATTTCGCGTATTTGATGCGTGGTGTGCATCAATTGTTTGGTCGATTCGTTCAGCATTTGATTCTTTTGCGTAAGATCGGCTTTCCAGCGCGCCAGTTCCTCGACCATGACGCTGCTGGCCAAAAACTTGGAGCGCCACACCTCGCATTGACTGGCCAAAAATTCGATTTGTTCAGTGTGTGTGGTCAAATTGTTTGCCGTATCGAGCAGAGCACGAGCTAATTGCAATTTATCTTCGGTCAGCAAGTTGACCCTTGTCTGTAAGTCTTCGCCAACGGAAGCTACTAGCAGGCTTTTAAGCTCCCCGTTAACTTGCGTCTGGAATTTATACTGCGCCTTAAAATGATCGCGCTCCTCTTGCATTTTAGCCAACTCCTGCTTGAGACGTTGCATTTCCTCGCTGCTTGCGCTGCTCGTTGCATCAATGTGTTTGGCATCGCCATCATCTTGGACAAGTTCCTGAGTGCGCAGCGTTGATACCTGATCCGCTAGAACAGCAATGTCTAAATTGTTTTTGCTAACCCTCTGAGTCCTTTGCTTAGCGGCTTGCTGTGCAGGAGTCATGGGATTCACGGCACCTGGATATGGTTCATAAGGCACGAATTTCGGTGGTTTGGTTTTCTTATGCTCTGGCAGTGGTTGAGCTGTATTGACCAATCTAGGCTTCAGCTGGATGAGCTCGCCCTTGGGCAGCGCAGGCGCTAGACTTCGGCTCATAACGTCGGGTCGCCGGTAGAGTGTGTGTAAGCCAGGCAAAGCCAGTGAAGCAGAGTTACCATTGCTTTGGGACGTCTTTGACGTAAATACCGCTTCCTGGACTATCGTGCTATCCTTGCGCGGTAATTGTGGTCGCTTGATCTTAACAGCTTCGAAACTTGTTGACGATTGCTCTTCGTGTCCTACTTTCGTTGAAGTTGAGATGTCAATGTGTTCCATGCCGTCACCGCTTGTGCGGCAAGATTGCACTCTGCTATCACCATCGTTTTCTAAGGCATCTGTATTCATGGCTTTTTTTTTTTAATGACAAGTCTTGATGTCTTTATATTTATACCTACAAAAATTTTATTAATTTTGTTGCCAACAAAACAAAAACAATAGAAGTGAAGGGCTGCCAACTCGTTTTTTTTTAAATATTTGAATGTTGCCAACTCACTTTTGCAGCGCTGCCAATCGTAATTACAGTATAATATATATGTGAAAAATCGATCTTTTCTGATTTAATCAGAGAAATAAATAACAAATTGGTTACGCGGTGTGTTATCTGAAGTTCCCGTGACGCATATTTCATAATTTGCAACCAAGCGCATGCTCGTATTTGTCGATGCGGGCGTTTATATTGCTATAAAATCTGTTAGCATAAATGCACTACCGGCAGCTGTGCGAGTATGTCGACGACGGAGAGTGAGCTGCTTAGAAACATAAATGAGAAAATCGAACTGATTGAACCTAGCACAGGAAAATTGTTTTTCGAACACAAAACTGAGCTGGTGTTTGTAAAACCGCGTTTGATACCCCTGAAGTCTCAGGCTTTGGAGAGTCTCGAGGAAATGCATCGCGAAACAGCTCGCCAGCTGCAACAGAAACGCACAAAGTGCATCAACAATAACAAGAAAGAGAACGCTGTCGAAGTCGACGTTGTCGCCGCCGCCGCCGCCCTGGCTCCGGCCATCTTATAATAAGGATTATCAACTATTTATTTGCAAGCAGCTTTAATATGGCGTACTTGCTGACCTTTGGCGTAATTGGTGCATTGGTCCTGGCCAGCTTAATGCTCTATCGATATGGCAACATTCCACGTCAACACATCCTAGTCACACTGTCCGTGCTGACAGCCTGGTGTTTCTCCTTTCTGATAGTGTTCACCATACCTTTGGATGTAACATCGGTAAGTGATCGACAGTAAAAAAGCACTAGAAATATCTCACATAGAATTGTTTGTTGCAGACTTTGTATCGACAGTGCGTGGAAAAACATAAACCAGTTCCAGAATCAGAATTGGGCAACAGGGACAATGGAAGCATTATAGCTACAATTACCACCCCCATGACCAACAATGTTCACCCAGTAGAATGCCAGGAAGCCTGGGGAATGGTGCCTGCATACGTATTTCCCAATTTATGGCGCATCATCTATTGGAGTTCGCAGTTTCTCACGTGGCTAATTATGCCGATGATGCAATCGTATCTCAAGGCTGGCGATTTCACAATAAAAGGCAAACTCAAATCGGCGTTGATCGAGAATGCAATCTACTATGGCTCCTATTTGTTCATATGTGGCGTGTTGCTCATTTACATTGCTGTGAAAGGCGTATCGCTGGATTGGCAAAAGCTGAAAGCGATTGCTTCGTCGGCATCTAATACATGGGGCCTTTTTTTACTCATCATACTGCTAGGCTATGCTCTGGTCGAAGTGCCCCGTTCACTGTGGAACAATGCCAAACCGGGATTTACGCTACAATACGCATATTTTAAGGCTGCGAAGCTCAGCACGGATAAGGCCGAGGCGGAGGAGCATGTCGATGATGTGTTAGAGTCGCTGCAGTGCATCAGTCGGGCTGTGCCTAATAATCATGAGCTACGTCCGTGCGTCGAGACAATAATGCGAAAAGTACCAATCGAGCTACAAGAAAGAGCCACTCGTAATTTTGCCCGCAGCGGAGGCAACGGCATGGCCGGCACCACCTCCACCATTGTGCCCTCTGAGAAGGCACTTGTGCGCATACACAAACAGGTAATCAAGTCACTGCAAACATTGCAACGAACTGAGGCATTGTGGAGCGTACAGGTGAATACGGTCCTCCATCTGGAGGATGTCGCTCGCAACGTACACTCTGCTGAACGTCGATTCAAAACGGAGTTCCCACGGCAACGTACGCAATTGGAAAGAATCTGCTATAGCGCCACAATACAATGGTACTGGGAGTGCCTCTTGAAAGCGCCGTTCTTTAAGGCGTTGTGCGTGGTGACTGCCACAATGTCTGCAATGGTCGTGTGGAGCGAACTGACCTTCTTTTGTCGCCGCCCCGTGTTGTCTATATTCGCGAATGTCATTAACGTGGCCAACTCAAACAATGACTTCTTCACCATTGAACTGTTCTCTATGATCGTGCTGTGCTATTTCTTCTACTGCACCTATTCCACCATTCTGCGCATACGGTTTCTGAACTTATATTATCTGGCACCGCATCATCAGACGAATGAACACAGCTTGATATTCAGTGGAATGCTGCTCTGTCGATTAACCCCGCCCATGTGTCTTAACTTCTTGGGACTCATTCACATGGACTCGCACATAATACAGAAGGTAAGTAGGTCTAACCAGTTCTCTAAAGGCATTAAACGTTAAACGTTTGCTATTTTGCAGCGCATTATGGAGACTTATTACACACAGATAATGGGTCATATGGATGTCATCGGTATCATTTCCAATGGCTTCAACATTTATTTTCCCATGTGCATGTTGGCATTTTGCTTGGCCACCTGGTTTAGTCTGGGCAGTCGGGCACTCAACGCATTGGGCTTTCAACAGTTCTTGCAACACGAAACGATTGCAACGGAACTGGTGCAGGAGGGCAAAGATTTAATAGCGCGCGAAAAGCGCCGCCGACAACGTGCCGAGGAGGCAATCGCTAGGCGGCGCGATTTCACGCGACCCGATGCGCTGCCCAACCATGATTATATTGGTAAATATCGTGCCGGAGCGGGCGGTGGTGGGCTAAGCAGTGGCGGCGTTACTGGCTCATTTGCCAGCACTCGCACGCCGGCTGATGGTTTGCTACGAGATGGAGATGTCGGCTATGACTACGCTGCTGTGGCCTCCTCGTCGGCCCTGGGTGTACCACGCTCGTTGTCGGAAGAAATCAATGAACGCTTCGGTGTCAGCACTCAAATGCAAGTCGGTTTCCGAGGCGCCAATGAGCCGGACGATGAAGAGAACGAACGTCGCATAGTTGGGCCGCCGCCACGGGGTCTTTTCGATGATGTGTAGAAGGCTCGAAATTTACATTCTATTGTACTTCAAATGTATATCGCTGTATAACTTAATAAGATGAATATTATCTCAGTTCTTTAGTTAATTTAATTTAGTTTAAGCTTATTCGCTGCTGTTCCTGTCACAAATATTGTAATCATTTAAATAAACACCATTGGCGCTAAGTTTTTTTGCGTAATGTGTAAGGCTTGAGAGGCTTTCGCTCGTTGTTCGAGTTGTTTGCACAACTGCAGTCAGCATCCGCACATGTGTCTTCCTCCTCCTCATCGGAGCTGGGCGTCACGAAATTCGTCTGTTTTCGTAGCTCCGAAACGGGATGCGGCTTGATCCGCTTGCGACCACGAACGAAGCCGCATCGCGATGAAAGTGGCGTCTCGGGCACTAGCAAAGACATCACCTCCGATGTCAGACTGACAGCCGCTCGTAGAGTTGCCCCATGACTGCCAGGCATGACAAATAAATCAGAGAAGCATATGAAGTTTTTCGAAACACGTTTCTTTTATTCGTGTATATACATTTGTCGCACCATCATTTAGGAAGCAGAACATTTTAACTATGTAACAAATAGCGAACACAAGTGGAAAGTATTCATAGGAATATAGTAGTCGGTCGTTTGTTTCTTCTGTTAAGGGTTGCGCGTACGTGAGTAACCTCAAATGTAAAGTGTATTTTTCAAACTATTCATCGCCGCCACCCTCCTCATCCTCATCGAATTCACCCTCCTCGTCGGCAGTGGCCTCCTGGTACTGCTGATATTCAGATACCAAATCGTTCATGTTGCTCTCGGCCTCTGTAAATTCCATTTCATCCATACCCTCGCCGGTGTACCAATGCAAGAAAGCTTTGCGGCGGAACATAGCCGTAAACTGCTCGGAGACACGCTTGAACAGCTCCTGAATAGCTGTCGAGTTGCCAATGAAAGTGGCCGACATCTTCAGACCTCTAGGCGGAATATCGCACACGGCTGTCTTGCAGTTGTTCGGTATCCACTCGACAAAGAAGCTGCTATTCTTGTTTTGAATATTGAGCATCTGTTCGTCCACCTCCTTCATGGACATGCGCCCACGGAAGATGGCCGCAACGGTTAGATAGCGACCATGTCGTGGATCACAAGCGGCCATCATGTTCTTGGCATCAAACATCTGCTGAGTCAGCTCGGGTACGGTCAAAGCGCGATATTGCTGGGACCCACGAGAGGTCAACGGCGCAAATCCGGGCATAAAAAAGTGTAGACGCGGGAAAGGCACCATGTTGACAGCCAGCTTACGCAGATCAGCATTTAGCTGACCGGGAAAGCGCAAGCAAGTGGTCACTCCAGACATTGTAGCCGACACCAAATGGTTCAGATCACCATAGGTGGGCGTGGTAAGCTTCAGCGTGCGGAAACAAATGTCATACAAAGCCTCGTTATCGATGCAGTATGTTTCATCCGTATTCTCCACCAGCTGATGGACGCTTAGAGTAGCATTGTAGGGCTCGACCACGGTGTCCGACACCTTAGGCGATGGTACAACGGAGAAGGTATTCATGATACGATCTGGATACTCCTCTCGAATTTTCGAAATGAGTAATGTGCCCATGCCCGATCCAGTGCCCCCGCCCAAGGAGTGAGTTAGCTGAAAGCCCTGTTAATGCAATTAGTTAACCTCCCCTCGGATAAATTCTCTATTAGAACTTACTTGGAGACAATCGCAGCCCTCAGATTCCTTGCGAACCACATCCAGCACAGAGTCCACCAACTCGGCGCCTTCAGTGTAGTGACCCTTGGCCCAGTTGTTGCCTGCGCCAGACTGGCCGAAAACAAAGTTATCGGGCCGAAAGATCTGCCCAAAAGCTCCCGAGCGCACAGAGTCCATGGTGCCCGGCTCCAAGTCGACAAGTATGGCCCGTGGCACATACTTGGCGCCAGTGGCTTCGTTGTAATAGACATTGATGCGCTCCAACTGCAGATCACTATCGCCATAATATGTCCCCGTAGCGTCAATGCAATGCTCGTCCGAGATCACCTCCCAGAACTTGCCTCCGATCTGGTTGCCGCATTGGCCAGCCTGAATGTGCACAATCTCACGCATGATTACGAGCACGAGAAACAATGAAATTCAATTTTGCTGGAAAACTTATCCGAATTTTCTGGAGAGCTATTCCTATTTTTCTTTTTTTCAGAAGGCAGAAACCGGTTTAAACTGATTTTAACGTATAATTTTCTTACTTTTTCTCTATACGTGTATCGTAGTCGAGTCGATGTTGGAATGAGACTACTGCGAATGGGAAATGCTAATATCCCTAGTTAGACTACTGCGATCATACAAAATTTCAAACTTTGAGATATGTTTGCTTCGGTTCGGGTTTCAGAGTTATATATTTGAGCACTTTTACTTAAACGTATTTTACTTTAATAAGAGGGTTTTCTTTTCATGGTGGTTAAGTTCTCTACGGGGGTCTCTAAAAACGGCTACAGTTTGGCATCCCTAAAGGTGGCTAGACTACGTGATATCTCCAGAAGAATTTGGCATTCAAGCTAACTTATTAGTCTATTAGACAGATGCACGCTTCAGGCACAGAGTGCTCTCAATTATATCCATTGGCTGGAAGTCTGGGTCGACAAATGGCTCGTGGTTCAAGCAACGGGTTCCACCCATGCATGTGCAAGAACACAGCGACACTGTCTCGTCATTCTCCGTAGTGTAGTTGTTTTCCAAGAGCTTGCCCTGCATATTGTAGGTCGACTCGTCGTCATATGTAAGCGGCTGGTTGCCAGCAGCCAGATTTTGAGCATCTTGTTCGTCCCGCTTAGCGTCCTCGGCTTGCCTGCAGGGAACACAAAAATAAGTACAAATTTAATGAAATCTTAAATAATTAAATATCTAAACAGCGACTGACATTGTCATGAATCGCAATACGAGCAGATTAATACTAGCAGCGACCACTGCTAATCCAAACAGTATAAAGACCAAACTGAGCGCAACATATCCTGGCTTGTTCGTCAACGCCTGGTCATTTTGTAGAGCCACGTAATCACCAAATCCAATTGTAGTCAACGTGACGAAGCAATAGTAGAAGCTGTCAAAGTAACTCCAGCCCTCGTAGCGAGAGAACACTGCTGCTCCGGTTGTTATTATGATCGAGGAGAGCATCCCGGTGGCCAACATTAGATTCATTTCAGTGGCATCCGTGCATCGTGCTCCACTTGCTCGCTTCGCCCTCCTAATTATTACGGATGCAAACTTATTCAGACGCTCACCAATGGACTGGAACATAACCAACCCGAGTGGAATGCCAACCTGAAATGAAATCATACATTGGTTAGCCATGGGGTTTGATATTGTATGAATCCATCTGGAGGTTAAGTATCTTGGTTAGATCATACCATCGCATAAAACATTGTAAATAATTTGCCGGCCACAGTGGTCGGCGTGGAGTGTCCATATCCTGAAAAATAAAAAATATTACAAAACTAACATTTGGTATTTACTACGAATACAGACCGTAATATGCACACGCACACAAGGTGAACCATTACCCTTACCAATGTATATTTTAGGTTGCTCATGCATTACATATCACTTATGTACATATACATACTTAAATACATAGAGCTCATTTCGTATACATATTAATTAATATCTTCGTACTTTGTTAAAAAGCCTTTTACATATGATTCACTAAATTCAGTCAAAAGCACATATTTTAGGTTACTTTCCTCATTACATTCTTCAAATGATTACTGTAAAAGTGCTAATGCATGCACATGTGTAGCATGTATGGTTGTGTGTAAAAAATTAATTTTAAAAGCGTTACAGCGCATTAATACCCTTTCTGAATAAAAGCTCGTGCGAGAGTAAAATTTGCATTCGCGCGTCTCAGGCTGTTTTACCACTCTGCAATACCTTACTTTCAGAAGAAAACAAATAAGCCTTAACTTCGTACACACACATGCCTATTTGGAGAGAGCTGTGAGAGTAAGGAAAACAAGAATAGTATATTAAGGACGAGCGCTCATGACGAGCGGCCATCTTGCTCGATCACACTAGGCTTAAGGCAGTCAGCTGCCATTGCTCGCTACGAGCGTAAGAGAATAAGAGACCCGAGCAAATACGAAGTGTAACTTTTTCTCAATCATAAATGCATTCATATATATATGTGTGTGTGTGCGCGTATGTTTGTATAGTGATTTGTTTTAGTGATTTCACATTTTTATCATTTCTTAAATTTAATATACATATGTAAGTTGTAGTACAATTACAATCGCGATCAGTCGTTCGACCTGTAAAGACGTGAATTCGAACAGCCTTCGCTTAAGCTCTACTGCTGCAGAGTTCTAAAAATAGAACTTTGCGGTGCATTCTTCAACGCAACAGCAACAAAAACCGCACACGCAGCGTTTTCTTATCGCTTGCTTCCGCGTAACTCAATTGCTTTAATTGTAATTTACGAAATTTCGTCGCTTGGCGCGAGTGCGCCTGCACTCAAAAGCACAATCCGCGATGACATCTAATGTCAATGACCGCGCTACAGCTGTAAAGGTAAATGCAGAAATGCAAGCCCAGCTTAACGTTGTGATGGCAAATAGGCAAGCCTCCATCATGCCAATAAACTCAAAAATAGATATCGCCTCCGTGCAAGGCATCACTAACAACAAAAACACGAAACGTAAACAGCCAAATTCACCAAAAACCATCAAGAAAAGGCTCATCTTCGACGAACCAAGCACCAGCAATGCAGCATTAATATCAGAAAATCGATTTTCACTGCTCGTAGAAGAAGATGAAGACTACAGCGAATCACCTGTAGCTCCAGAAGCCCCAGTATTGACCGACCAGCAAACTACACCGAAACCTCGTCCGCCCCCCATATGGTGTCCAAACATCAAGTCTGTGGCCCTACTTCAACAGATAATAGATAAAGTAATTGATGCTAAATCATACGTAATTAAGCCAAAGAAGAATAACATAGGTGTATTAACCCAATGCAGTGAGGACTATCGCAGAGTTATAGACCACTTTACTAAGCTGGAATTGGAGTTCCACTGCTACCAGCTTAAGGAGGACAAACCATATAGAGTCGTGTTCAAAGGGCTTCACTCCAGCACTGATACAACACTAATTAAAAAGGAATTGGAAACCAAAGGCCACACAATTACAAATGTGCACAACCCACTGAGCCGTATGGACAAAACACCGCTAAATATATTTTTTGTTGACGTGGCTCAGGCCCCCAACAACAAAGAAATTTTGGACATTCGAGTTGTCTGCAGGCAACGCTGCACAGTGGAACTGCCAAGAAGATACAACGACCTGACACAATGCCATCGCTGTCAAGAATTTGGACACACACAACGCTACTGCCACAAAGCTCCCAGGTGTGTGCGTTGCGCCGGGAAACACGCATCCAAAGACTGCACCCGCGAAAAGGACCAGGCACCAACTTGTGTGCACTGTGAGTTACAGCACCCAGCCAACTATAAGGGCTGCCAAGTATACAAGCGGTTGCGCAAATTGCAATCCCCAGCACAAAAAAGGAGTCCCACACAAACACCGTCTACGGGTCCGAGTACTGCTTCCGAAATTACAAGGCCCCGGAGCATTACCCAAGCCACGAGCTTTGCAACGCCTATTAGTGGTGTTTCTTACGCACAGGCCGCTAGAGGTGGACCGTCAAATAAGAATACCACAAGTGACACTTTGTTCACTGAAATGCTTCAGCAACAACAACGTCAGTTTGACGCAATTAATGCCGAGCTCAAAGCGATGCGAGAAGTACAATCCCAACAAGCAACCATGCTAAACAGTTTAATGGCCATCATAACCAAGCTTGCCTACAAATAATGGCTTTACGTGTGGGTATCTGGAACGCCAATGGCCTGAGAAACAAGACTCAGGAACTGGCTGCGTTTCTCTCACAAGAAAACATAGATATAATGTTAATAACAGAAACTCATGAGTGCCCCACTACACAAATTTTCGGATACGAACACTATCAGGCTCATGGTGAAGGAGCAAACTGCTTTGGTGGATCCTCAATCCTCATACGAGCAACAATACCGCATACACCTTTACTGTCAATTTGCAACGCAACAATGCAGGTCTCAGCCATCACCCTGCCTACGTCTATTGGAGCGATCGAAGTTGCGTCAATTTATCTTCCGCCAAACACTGGTCTGTGTGATCATCACATGGAACAGGTTCTAGGCCAAAGGTTGAATAAGACCCTCATCGGCGGCGACTGGAATGGATGGCACCCATTTTGGGGAAGCAATAGTGCGAATCGTCGCGGAGAAGTCATATTTGAGGCGATTCAAAACTTACAATTCAGCATATTGGCGACTGGAGCCCCCACCCGTTACCCAATTAATGGACACAGGCCCTCGGCAATCGACTTCGCTGTCTACAAAGGCATCTGTGACCGGCAATTGACCATTGAAGAATCCTTGGACCTATCCTCTGACCACCTGCCACTAATAGTCACAATCCACGCGCAGCCACAGCCCTTGCCCATTAGGAAACAACTACTGCCAGCAGGATCAGATTTAGGAGTCTTTAGGCGCGAGCTCCATTACTCTTTGCACATAGAAATGGAACTTAACACTCCTGAAGACGTGGACTACGCAGCAAACAAACTGCAGGAAGAAATAGTCAAAGCTGCGCACCAAGCCGCCCCACCATCTTGCCAAACAAGACAACAGTCTCCGTACAACATCCCCCTCACCTTGGAGGCCCAACACCTACTAATACACAAAAGATGGGCCAGGAGACGCTGGTTAAGATTACGCACGCCTGATGCCAAATCCACGTACAACGAAGCCACGAGGCATCTTAAAGCTGCTCTCGCCCTGCTTCAAAAGAGGTGTATCAGCGATGCGCTGGTACGAGCTGAATCGCCCACTGACGCAGAGTTTCAATTATGGAAATTTACAAGAAAGCTCAAACGGCAGCCAATACGTCGACATCCCATTCGGAGCATTTCTGGTTCCTGGCACATTGGTGACGAAGCTCAAGCTGAGGCTTTTGCAAACCACCTTCAAGACCAATTCACGCCGGTGATTACCGCAGAGGCCTCAGAAATCGAAGCAACAGAAGACATCGTTCTCTCGCCCCTCCCAGCTGAAGACCAGATAACTGGATGTACAAAAGAAGAGGTTCTTGAACACATCAGAAGAGTGAAGGCAAAAAAATCCCCTGGATATGATCTAATAAACGGCAGAGTCCTTAGAGCACTGCCTGACTCCACCATAGACTACATAACTATGGTGTACAACGCCATGCTCCGCATCCGGCACTTTCCAGCCTGCTGGAAGCGCGCCGTGATTGTGATGATTCCTAAGCCTGGCAAACCCGTGGGAGAAATTGAGTCGTACAGACCAATTAGCCTGTTGCCAGTACTCTCCAAAATATTCGAAAGAATATTTCTGGAACGAGTACTGACACATCTGGGACGCCAGGAGGCCATTCCAAACCATCAGTTTGGCTTCAGGAGACAGCATGGAACACCGGAACAGGTTCACAGAGTTGTGCACCATATCCTTGGAGCCTTTGAAGAAAAGATGTACTGCTCTGCCGTCTTTTTAGACATCAAACAGGCGTTTGATCGAGTTTGGCACCTGGGACTGCTGCAGAAAGTGAGGACCACCCTTCCAGCCCCATTTTTCGCGTTGCTATCCTCATACCTTATTGGAAGAACCTTCCAAGTGTCAAGGGGGCAAGCAGTATCCTTGACTAGACCAATTATGGCTGGAGTACCACAGGGTAGTGTTCTAGGCCCAACACTTTATACTTTATTCACAGGAGATATGCCAACTCCCGAGCCAAATATAGGAAGTACAGATGCAGTACTCATAGCGACCTATGCAGATGACACCGCCATCTTATCACGTCACGTATCTGCGCAAGAAGCTTCAGACTCACTACAAAAATATCTGGACTCTTTCGGACGCTGGGCAAAACGGTGGTGTATCACCATTAATGCACAAAAGTCTGTACATACTACCTTCGCCACTAGAAGAGGAGATTGCCCAAGCGTTGCATTGGGGCCCACTATTCCCAAAGCCTCAAAAGTAAAGTACCTTGGTATCACTCTTGACAGAAGGCTGACTTTTAAAGCGCACATAAGTCAAGTAACCTCAAAATGCAAAAGCAAGCTAAAAACCCTCGACTGGATGCTGAGAGCTTCAAGCAAGTTGTCTTACAGCAGCAAGGCCGCCATCTACAAGGCAATAGTTGTCCCAACCTTCGTATATGGTATCTCTCTATGGGGCTCCTCGGCGAAGACTACAAGGAACAAAATTCAGACCCTGCAGAATAAAGCACTACGCAGATGGACTGGAGCCAGCTGGTTTGTAAGAAACTCAGTCTTACATAGGGATTTAGCAATTCCCACAGTTGCTGAACTCATTGGGCGACACAGTTCAAGATACGCGGACAGACTTGCAGCGCATCCTAACCATCTCGCAAGCAACCTGGCTATAAACAACAATAGGCGAAGACTGAAGAGATTGCATCCTCTAGACAATATAAGAACTAATTAAGATAGTAGCTACAAGTGCAGAATAATTGGCATATCTGCCCTCCCATTAGTTAAGGTTTAGAGCTAAATGCGCTATAGAGTCTAAGACAATAAGCTGCAACAAAATAAAGAAAAAAAAAAAAAAAAAAAAAAAAAAAAAAAAAAAAAAAAAAAAAAGTACAATTCATCGAGTCAAATGAATTTCAATTGCGTTAACTAATTTTGTATAATATTTACCAATCATTGCCAGCACCACAGTGGCAAAATAAAATGCGCCAGCGAATTTCCACTGAGGTCCCGCTTTGTGTGGTTTGTTCTCTATTATTACTATTTCGATCATCCGGTAGTCTTCGGCACTCACATTGTATTTCTCAACGAAATTATTCTTTATGGCTACAGCATGAAATTAAAATTATATTCCAATTCCAATATCAACATTCAAATTCATGGCCAATTAATGTTAATAAACAGAAAAAGCAACATAAAAGACAATTGGATAGCACAGATCAAAAGTTGAAATAAAATGCTATATCATAATGAGCGAATTCAAAATTGAACATTTTGATCTGTGCTGGAGACGAACGATATGAAAATGATTTGGATTCATTATTTTTATTGGTAATTTTTTGTTTTTATATAAGTGAGAGTGAGTGCAAATTGTAGTTTGTGTGCATTTGGATCTTGCCGGGGATATATATTGATCGCATATATATGTACCTTGCAAAAATTCCCAACGCCTCGCTTCTGTTTGTGATTCAAGCGAGTCAAAGACTGCCGCCCCGATGAGCAAATAGGTAAATGTGCATACCACCAGCGACAGGGTTCTAACGTTCTGACGCTTCATGGCGCAATGGACAACAAATTCGAAAGCTGTTTGGCGATAGGATTCAATAAGCATTTAAAGTTAAGGCTTATTGCAAATCTCAGAGGTTTGCACAATGCACCGTTATTATTAATATCGTCTGTTTGTTTGCATACGTTTCTGTCTCTGTATTAGTGTGTATGTCCTGCACAAGGATTCTGTAGAAATCGATTTGCGTGCATAAACATACAAACAGCAAACGGTGCTATGTTTTATTTGATGTGCCCTGTATTTAAGTTCATTGCAGTTTTGAACTTGTAAGTTTCCATTGTGACTTAATTAGTGCGACTCTGTATTATATTAGCATCGAAGTGTACTTTATTTATTTTCGGTTTATTTAATTGACTACCGATACGAATTGCGGGAAAATCGGTAATTGAGAGACAGGGGTGTTATTGTGGGCACACTGAAATAAGTTGGCAGCCCAGCTTATTGGGTATCGATAGCGCCATGTAATCGCTTTGCCTGACATTTGTTTATGCGAAAAAATCCACGCAAGTCTTTTCAAAAGTTAAATAGCAGCAGCTACGCTACTTTTGAAACATTGTGAACATCGATGTTCAATTAAAACAGACATGCTGCGCATTCGTCGTCGTTTCGCTCTTCTCATTTGCTGTGGTTGTCTTCTCATCTTCCTCAGTCTCTATGTGATCCTAAATTATGCGGCACCGGCTGCCAATGCTAAAAAGGTAATATTTCCCTGTGTATGTGAGCATCGTATCAATTTAGTCGTGTCATTTTTAGCCACCCTATATTGCGCTTGAGAACAAACTCCATCAAGTGGAAAAAATACGATCGCAGCAAGGCAACGAAGTACACAAAGCACACGAACTTCCAGGAATAGTTCCCGTTGAAACTAATGAACAAGATGACATTCTGGCCGCAGATTCAATAAACAATGAGGAAGACGATGCGGGTGTATGTGCGGACATAGTTAAGCAGGTGCCCCAAGTGGATGTTCAGATGCTAGACCTATATGACCAGATGTCCTTTGCCGACATTGATGGCGGTGTTTGGAAACAGGGCTGGAATATCAAATACGATCCCATCAAATACAATCAGCATCATCAACTAAAAGTTTTCGTTGTGCCACACTCTCACAATGATCCTGGCTGGATTAAAACCTTCGAGGAATATTACAATGCCGGTAAGAAGGCTTTCAATGTATATTGATTATGCAAAGCAATTTTCAATAGCACAATAAGCGGATTTTCCATATTTATATTTGTTTCAAATCACTTTTTCATTATTGTGCCATTAGTACGACCTCCTATATTGACTATTGACTATTGAACAGGTTAATTACCTTTGTTGAATATATATATTTATATATATAGGTATATATTGCTTATTTTGAATTGAAAAGTATTTATAGTAATTTTCAGGAAATGCATGAAAAAACCATCAAGAAAAATACATGTATGTACATATATATATATATATATATATAAAATTTACCCACTCTATGTCAGTAGAAGCTTAATTGTAAAAATATATATAAAAAGCTTGAAGAGAAGTCACAATATATATTTTTTATTTTTGTTTTTGTTTATTTGATTTTAATTTAATTTCATATTAGTTAAAGTATTATATATTTATTTTAAATTATTTTTATTTTATTTTTTAAATGTAAAATGATAATGAACAGTATAACATATCAGAGATATTTATATATTGTTTTGGACATGTTTTCTACAATATGTTTAATTAAATTAAGCAATATAAAATTGTCGTTTTATCACATTTTATCAGCTTTGGTAATAGCACAACTTGTATATATTTTTGACATAATTTCGATTGCTTTTAACGAGCCCACATATATGTTTTTAATTTTAATTACAGATACCAAACACATCTTATCAAATGCATTGCGTCATCTAACTGAGAATCCAGATATGAAATTTATTTGGGCTGAAATATCATATTTTTCACGATTTTTCGAAGACCTGGGCGATCACAAAAAGCAGCAAATGAGAATGTATGTGGCAGAGGAGAATGTATTTCGTTTTGAGTTAATTGTAAACTAATATTCTTACAGGATTATCAAGAAGGGTCAGTTGGAGTTTGTTACCGGTGGATGGGTAATGCCCGATGAAGCCAATTCACATTGGCGGAATGTTCTATTGCAATTGACAGAGGGACAGAGCTGGTTAAAGCAGCATCTAAACGTAACGCCAACTGCTGGCTGGGCTATTGATCCGTTCGGACATAGTCCTAGTCTGCCGTATATACTCCAAAGAAGCGGTATGAAAAATATGCTGATTCAACGAACACATTACTCAGTAAAGAAGGAGCTAGCACAACGCCGACAGCTGGAGTTCTACTGGCGTCAGACTTGGGAAACACGCGATAAGACGGCACTCTTTACGCACATGATGCCCTTTTATTCGTATGATATTCCACACACTTGTGGCCCGGATCCAAAGGTGTGCTGTCAGTTCGACTTTAAGCGTATGGGTGGCTTTGGACTGAGTTGTCCTTGGCGAGTGCCGCCCCGTCCAATCGATGAAAGCAACGTGGCCACTCGTTCCGATATGCTGGTGGATCAATGGAAGAAGAAGGCCGAGTTGTATCGCACAAATGTCTTGCTAGTTCCTTTGGGCGATGATTTTCGCTACAAGCAGAACGTGGAGTGGGATGTGCAGCGCATTAACTATGAAAAGCTCTTTGAGCACATCAACGGCAATCCGCGCTTCAATGTGCAGGCGCAGTTTGGGACACTAAATGAATATTTCGATGCTGTACACAAAACTAAGCAGACCTTTCCTTCGCTAAGCGGAGACTTTTTTACCTACGCGGATCGAGCTGACAACTACTGGAGCGGCTATTACACATCGCGTCCATATCATAAGCGAATGGATCGCGTGCTCATGCACTATATGCGAGCGGCGGAGATGCTTCATGCCTGGCATAACTGGGACACGATAGCAGGCTTTGGCAAAAAACTTGAGATGGCACGTCGAGAGATATCTCTCTTTCAGCATCACGATGGCATCACAGGCACCGCGAAAACGCACGTAATGCAAGATTATGAGAAGCGCATGGTTGAGGCGCTTTGGGCGTGCCAGTTTGTAATGCAGCAGGCAGTCTATCGGCTGCTCACCAAGCCTTCTATCTATAGTGCGGACTTTAATTTCTACTATTTTACATTGGATGATTCACGCTGGCCGGGCGTAGGTGTCGAGGAGAGTCGCACAACTATTATACTGGGCGAGGAGCTGCCCACAAAGCATGTTGTCCTGCATAACACAGTTCCGCATTGGCGAGAGCAACTAGTCGATTTTTATGTCTCAAGTCCGTTCGTAAGTGTCAGCGACTTGGCTGGCCATCCAGTGGAAGCGCAGATTTCGCCCGTCTGGAGCTGGCATCACGATACAATCAGCAAGACTTTCAATCCGCAAGGGTCTACCACCAAATATCGAATAATTTTTAAGGCACGCGTCCCGCCCATGGGACTAACCACCTATATACTAACGATCTCAATGTCGAAGCCCGCGTAAGTGCAGCCCATGATGTACAATTTGAAGAGTTTCTGTTTTATATGCTTCTTTTAATCTATTGCAGTCACACCTTTTACGCTTCGCACTTGTTGCTAAACAATAGTCCACTTTCTGTTAGCTTGGGCCAATATCCAGAGGATGCAAAGTTTGGAGAGCATCGTGAGTTTTCACTACGTGTTGGCAGTGGGCCTACGCTTGCCTTCTCAGAGTATGGCATGCTGAAATCCATGCAACTTACACCAGATAGTGCCCCGGTGCCTGTGCACCTCAAGTTCCTAAAGTATGGCACTCGGCCGCATGGCGATAAGTCAGGAGCCTATCTGTTTCTACCCAATGGACCCGCAACGACCATTTTAGGAAACACACCTGTTGTCCTTGTCAGCGAGGGCAAGTTGGAATCGTCTGTTAGCGTCGGCTTGCCACACGTCATCCACCAGACCATCTTACGTGGCGACGCACCGGAAATACGCAACCTGGTGAACATTGGCGTCATCGACAATATAGAAATTGTGATGCGCATGCAGACGCACATTGATAGCGGCAGCATATTCTATACGGATCTCAATGGACTGCAATTAATCAAGCGAGAACGATTCGAGAAGCTGCCGCTGCAAGCCAACTACTATCCAGTGCCGTCGGCCATGTTCATCGAGGATGCTAATATGCGACTGACATTGCTAACAGGACAGCCGTTGGGTGGTGCCTCCTTGGCCTCGGGAGAGCTGGAAATCATGCAAGACCGCCGGTTGGCCAGCGACGATCAACGTGGCCTAGATCAGGGTGTGCTGGACAACAAGCCTGTGCTACATATTTATCGCCTTGTTCTTGAGAAGATCAACAATTGTGTTCGTCCACCCAAAGCGCATCCCGCTGCCTACTTGACTAAAGCCGCGCACACGGCATCACAGGAGTTGCTTGATCCATTTGATAAACTAATCTATGTAGAGAACGAGTGGACAGGAGTACAGGCGCAGTTTGGCAACGAGCACGTGCCGGCCAACGAGGATCTAGATGTCGTTGTGATGCGTCGTTTAACAAATAGCACAGCCAAGAACCAGCGCATCGGCTGCGTGCTGCATCGCACGCAGCTATTGCAATGCAACAACGACGACGAGTCCCCAGCCGACAAGGTAAGTTCATAAAGTTTGCTGCCATTACGATATAATATATTACAATATATATTCATTTTTACTTTTAAGTTCAATGTGTGCAGCGTATTGACAACTGGAGCGGAAGAGCGGCATCGCTGCCAGCGCACTTCTCTGACATTCCTGCAGGAGCTGGAACAGTTCGAGTCGAAGCTGGCGCCTCCACTATGTCCTATGGAAACTGCTGCTTACGTTATCAGTTATAATGTCGACACCGATAACAGCTGAACTAAAGCAATTCGCAATCTCAAGCAATAATATTAATTGAAAATCTTGACTAATATAATGCATGACAACTTAATGTATTAAGCGTTATTTTGAATCTGACTAACGATACGTAGGTAAATTACAATTACGTAGATTTTTTAATTGTTTTAATTGTGAAACTGTAATCTCATTCTGTGTTCTATTAGAGTGTATGTTAATTATTTTAATTTGTTTTGTGTGATATTTCTAGAATCTGTCTATGTTTAATAACTACATTTCCTGCATTTTCCTCTTTGTCTAGAATTATAATATTAGATGTGATAAGATCGCAAATACAAACTCAAATCCAGACGAAATACAAGACAAACTATTAACAATTTTCTGATAATTAAATACATACATACATATGTACATATAACATGATCTGTACGCCCAGAATATTCGTGTAACAATTTTACTAAATAAAGATAAGAAAATTGCTAAGACGTGAATATTGACCGTTTTTTCATATATAAACAAATATAATTTGATGGTTGATAAATCATTATAAATTTGGGACAGTCAATCGGATTCAGTAAGTACACATGAAAACAATATTTTGAAAATTTCAACTTTTTCTTATCTAAAAAAATGTTCAAATGGAGTCGTTCATTTACGAACGCTAACCGTTGCATGCCGTTATCGTTGTGGGATGTCATAATGGGATTGTTGTGATAAAAAGCATTGTTTTTACTGAGAATGGAGTGTGAATCTCTCACAGGCAGCAACTTTACTTTAACAGGGAATACATTTGTAGACTGCCTGGAAAATGCACAATGGAAGTTTTATTGAATTCATATTGAGCGTTAAGTGGTTGTTTTCAGAGTGTCAATACGAGAGAGCGAAGAGAGAGAATGAGAGCACGCTGCACACTTCTGTTAGCTGCTCTCTCCCATTTAATATGGGCAACGAAAGCAAAATTGTGCTCTCACCACACGACGACCATATTCGTGTGTGTGTGGATGTGTGCATGAGGTCGTCTGTGTGTGCCCACTGTGTACAACCACTGACTAGCCTACCATCGGAATTTTAAGTTCTGTACTGAAATCTCAGCTACTCGGAGAAGCAGAAACAACACAAAATGTGAGAGAGCAGAGAGAGAGGTGTAAGTCGAGCAAGCGCCAAGGCAGTTTTCAGATACGACGAACACATTCAGTGTCCAGTTCAGTTCAGTTGAGTTCAGTCAGAGTCAGAGCGTCGTCATCAGTGAGTTAATGTTTATATGCTACATATGTAACAATATTACAACGAATTAAGCACAAAAAATGCTTCTGTACCTTGTATATACAATTTGACATACATATGTATATAATATGTGTGTACTTTTATTAAAGTGGCCTGCACGCGGCAGCAATAATATACATTTATACATACATGCAGAATGTATATGTATATAAAGTGCTCAACATCGAGTATTTAATCAAATGATCATTAACAAAAAGTGTTATAAATTGTTCAATCAAAATCGCATTGGATACTCTGTCGTTGTTGTTGTTGGATTTCAAAGTTCGTTTGAACAATATTTAATTAAATAGTTGCGTACATCGTATATATGTGCGTATGTATGCATCTTCAAAGTTACCATGTGTATCTCTCTAAGCTCTCTGCGTGTGTGTGTGTGTGTGTGAGCGTGTGTTGAAACGTGCAAGTGTGTTTATGCGTCGCATGTTAGTTTCTTCAACGTTCTTTACGTCGTCTTCTAAGTTCTGTCGATGTGTGCGCGCGTATCCGTGTGCCCCTACTGAAATGTGTGCATGCAAGCTTGAGTATGTATGTGTGGTGCGTGTGTGTGAGAGTGTGTTCGTGTGTGCTTTTTGTGAACTACGTTTTGTTTCAATGCCAAAAAGTATCTATGTGTGCCTTGACATGAGCGTTTTGCTCGCTCGCTTGCTTGCTTTGCTTTGCTTTTGCCTTTGCCTGGCTTTCTGGTTACATAAATACTCACACCAAAACCCACACTCGCAAGACGTCGCAAAGCTTACGTACATAAACGTGTCTCTGCTTTCGTGTGTGTGTTTACTAAAATGTTAATGTGCTACTTTTGAAGGTGTCTGCCATGCGACAAAATTCAATTAACACTTAAAATCCAATCGTTGGTGCAACAAAAACAATAGCACGTTTTCCAATAAGAAAAGACGGATTGCTTATTGGAAGCAGCTGGTTCACTAGCCATAACAACAACAACAATAATAACATGTGTTAAATATTGGAAACAACAAGCTGCCTCAGCAGGTCCGCTCAGCCCAGCTCATTCCAATGGTCAAATGTCATGCAAAGGCAACACAGAAAAACATTCAGAATCTGGCAAATCCGAAGAAGAATGAAATAAGCACAGAAAAAATGAGCGAGCTAACGAAAAATTAAAATCAACGACGTCATATAAAACTGTGTCAAAGCAGCAGCAGCACACACATACACGCGCGCACTCAAAGTCTTTTTATGTGTGTGTGCGTGTGTGTGTTGTGTGCGAGCTATGGCAAAGCTTTTTCTACCAGTCGGGCGCTCTCACTCTCTATTGCTTCCCATCTCTCTCTATTCTTTGCTCTCCCTCTTTAGCTGCAAGCTGATAAAACGCAGCGCACACGGCGCGTATACATAATGTGCATACATACGTACATATAGATATATGTATATGTATGTGTATTTGTATTATATTTAAATGTTTTTCGTTTCGTTTGCTAACGAGTTTTTCACGTTATTGTTAGACACACGCACGCACTCACACACACACACAGAAGATTTTCATATTTAAAAGCGCTTCTAGCAAACGCTTGAAACATATGGCGCGTGAGCATTCTTCTAAAAACATATACATTTGTATCTATACACACATTTATATAAAAATATGTATTGTATGTATGTAAGTATATAGGTATATGTGTGTGTTTATTGAATTATGTCATAAACAATTTGTCTTTGGCATTCAATAGAAGTTCAATTTACTTGACGCAAACGTGGCGTATGAACAGAATGTAGCATTATTTTGAAAGCTTTTTTGGGTGAACAGGAAATGCAAAAGTTGCCCCAAAACTGTCTACTGAATGTGTGTGTTAGTGGGCAGCAATTTTCCGAGGCTTGCATGAAAACCTAGTGCCCTAATAAGCGACAACGAGAAGATAACCAATGAGAGTGGCAGAGTGAGAGAGCATGAAAAACAGTGAGAACCATACAAAGAGAGCGAATCGGGGTAGCGGTGGGAGAGGCCAACCGATAGGCAACTGACAGTGAGAGCAAGAACGAGAGCGTAAATGTGAGCGTGAGCATTAGAGATGAGAGCTAGCCCTCGAGAGGCGACTTAGCGTAGATGGCGCAAAATATAATTTAAATAAATTATAAAACAAGCCAGCCACAACGCAATTTGAATTCAATGCAAAATGTTGGCCTGACTGCGGGTAACAGCATTCGACATTCCGAAATCAGAAATGCGCGCGAATTAACAAAGATACGCAGCAGCAGAAGACGCACACATACACTGATATAACAATAAACACAAATGTGCTCAAGCAGGCACGTGTACGTGGCATACGCATATTTGTGTAAATTCAGAATGTTCGTTAGCTTAGTGAGAGAAAGACCTTGAGGTTTGCGTGCCACTTGGCTGATAAGTTCTTGCACCACTGGCTAAAATAAATAATAAATGGTCTAATGCACTGCTTGCGTGAGGTCTGTAATATTATAGTTTCAAGCTTTTGGGCATATTTTTTGTTAAGTGCTGTAGAAGATGCATATAACTATCCTTAAGACAAAAATACAAGCTTTTAATTTCATTAAAAAATTAATATTTATATTCAGTCAGTGGATTGCGCACACATTTGAAATGAAAGTGTGTTATCGATGAATTGAATGATATCGTGCTCTAGTAAATCGATCGCATTGCAAGCACCCGCCGAATAAGCCGATGCATCGATACTTGTTCCGTCATTCATTTGTTCTTGAATTTAAGCATTTCCACTAGCAAGCTTAAAAAGCAAATCAACTTTAAATAAAGGTGTTCGAGCGGCAAGCTCCTTCTGGCTGCCATGCTTTTTGCTGCATGCTGTGTCCAAAGAGAGGGCGTCCCATTGCGCAGGTCCGTAATTCGGAAAAGGCAGCAGCAACGGCAACAGAATTCAACGGCATCGTCTGTCGACCAATTTTTGTGTTAGAACCAAACGTGAGGCGAAGACGAGCACGCAAAGACGGCGCGTGACGCATACGCAAAGCAAAACAGAGCAAAGTCAGAGCCAAAACTAACTGTGAAAAATACAAATTTACATATGTACATGTGTATGTGTGTATGTGTACATAAATATTTCTTTAAATTATAGCAGTTACATTAGAGCTTTTGACAAGGCGCACATAAACACAGACACACATGCATACAAACATACATACACACATACACTTATGTGCATACATATGTACATGCAGTGGTAATGCAGTATTGGTTGCACTCGTCCTCGATTCTATTCGATAAGATCGATAACAGAGCGCTTAAAGTGATTTCATCTTCAAAATTTCGATTAATCTTGCCATTGTGTGTGTATATTGTTGTATAAGTGTGCGTGTGTGTGTGCGTGTAACTTATGTTTACATAATTTGTCTTTAAGCAAACGAATCAACTCAAACATCAACAACAACAACAGTAACAACAAGAAAACCAAAATAATTATAATAATCATAATAACTGCATGAATAATAAAAGAGTAACAACAAATTTGAGACGCAAACAACAATAATAACAACAACAACTACTACTACAGCAACAACAACAACAGCAACATTGGAGTGCCGTATGTAACATATAAGAAATCGAAAGTTAAACAAAAATATAATAATATAATAATATACTCAAAAGTGTACACATATTAACAACTTCTAATTCTAATCAACCAAATACTATATAACGAATATACCAGAACAACATATACCTATATATATATATAGATATATATATATTTATATATATATACTAGTACATAAATATTGCCCCGCACTCGATTAATTGCAGCTGTATGCACGACTCCTTGCAGAAAGGTGAATATATTAAATGTGAACATATCTCATATGTAAAACATACTAAGTATATGTTAGCATAAGTTCAAATTTCAATTGATTTTGTTTATAGGGAATTTAAATTTATTTTAAACTGTGTCATTGCTGTATATTTCTCGACCACAAACTTGTTGTCAAATTTAGTTTTCTATTCTACCTAAAGTGAATATAAACACACAGACAAATATGTATATATATATATATATATGGTATGTGTGTGTGTGTAAGTATAAGCGATCTCAGCTAATCAAAGTCACTCACAGCTTAGATGAGCTGCAGGGCCCCCTGCTTCGGTACCCCTGAGCTCGGGGTATCACTCGATAATTTACTCGTTTATTTGTCAAGCTCCCGACTCTTG